GCGTGCACCACTGCACTCAACTTTTAAAGGCTTTTTGAGCATAACTTAGTGGTATCTTTCAAAATAAAATAGCTTATACCGGTTTTCCATTCATTTTACTCCTAAGAGTATGTTTTACCAAAACACATAGGCATGCAAAATTACATCTAATTTCACTGAATCTAAGACACTATTGATTAAAAGATGCAGCTCAACTTCAGAGATATTAAAATGTGAAAATAAGCACATTCTAGAATTTGTGAAGTATGGTATTATAAAGATGTTTGCTGTAGAATTGGTAATATTGAATTTTAAGCTTTCATTAAAATACTAAGGAATATCTAAATGTACTGTCATGGAAACATGGCCACCACTCTTAAGTGAAAAATGGATTTGCAGAATATGATTCTATTTCTGTAGGACAAAAATTTATATATGTAAGCATTTATAGCTTCATTAAAAACATGTACTAGGGTAAATAACAGTGGTAATCTTCTAGAGATAGGTTTGGCATGGAAGTAAAAAGATCCTTCCTTTTACTTTATACATATATGTATTTTTTTAAAAAGGATAACCTTATTTTTGCAAAAAAAATTTTTCTTTATATTTTGTCCTTAACCTGATTTGAGTGAAGTTAGCTACATGGAAATAAGATAATGGAAGGGTGCCATCTTTGTATTATTGGTATTAAGTATTTTTTTCCTATATACATATATTTGTTGTGGTGCTGGGAATTGAACCCAGGGCCTTAGTGCATGCAAGACAAGGATTCTACCAACTGAGCTATATCCCCAGCCCTCCTTTTCCATGTTTTTATTAGTGTATTATAAGTCATACATAATAGGCTCATTTTGATATATTCACAGATGCATATAACATCATGACTACATTTTAACCCCAGTCCTTCCTCTTTCTCTCTCCTCTTCCTTCCCCCTGACTCTTCCACTCTACTGGACTTCCTTCCATTTATTTATTGATTTTTTAAAAATTGGTGCATTATAGTTATACATAAAAGTGAAATTCATTGTGATATATTCATACATGCATATGGCAAAACTTGTCAATTTCATCTTGCAGTTTCCCCTTTCCCAGCAGTTCTTTCCCTTTCTCATTCCTCCTGCTCTCCCTCAATCCCCTTCTTCTACTCCACTGTTTTCCCTTCTATTTTCATGAGATCCTCTTATTTGAATTCCTTTTTCCTCTCTAGCTTCCACATACGAGAGAAAATATTCAACTCCTGACTTTTTGAGTCTTGTTTATTTCACTTAGCATGATGTTCTCCAGTTCCATCCATTTACTAGCACAGGAGGTAATTTCATTTTATGTTCAACTCAACAAGACTTTAAAAACTGTGGGTTTTGTTTCCACACCTGGATCTGAATGAATTCAAGTAGGGTTATGATCCAGAACTTGTGAGTTCTCACTTGTGAGTGAGAACTAGGTGACACAAGATGTGGAGGTGATGAACTGAAGCTGCAGAAATATAATTTTAAGGCAGAATTGTAGAATTTGAAGACTACATGGAAATTTCATCTAAAATTATGTCATATAATTATCATCCTTAAATTCAGAAAATAGAATCGTTGAGATGGGTTTCATGAGATTCTTTACAAGGCTTCAGCTGCTAGACTTCTTTGCCATGGAGTATAGTAGAGTGCCCATCAAAGATTGCAGTAGTCATGTATTTAGCAGCTCCTGCTGGAACTCAGAGGGATAAATCAATCAATTGGCATTGGCCAAAGGAGTATTTCTCAATATTCAAATTAGTAACTGGGATGGGAGATTAGTAATGTGTATGATATTTGGGAAGTAATAACTCATAATTTTAAAAAGCAGCATTGCAACAAACAAGGCTCCAACATAGATAACCACTTGACATCTGAACATAAGCTAGAAACTAACGTCTTCATTAGTAGGATGACTAAACTATTATAAATTATGATCTTCTAAAAGATATTTGAGTTCTAAAATTCCATTATTCTATGCAGGTCAAAATTGCCTTTGCAAGCTGAGTCTTCCTCCCAAGCTAACATAAGGATTTAAACATGGTAGAAGTCAGAAGGAAAATGCCTTGCTAATTGTGGTCTTTAATGACATTGTTTTTTTTTAAAAGTTATGTGTATAACAATAGAACCCACTTTGACATAATTATACAAGCATGGAGTATTATTCTAATTCAGACCCCAGTACCTTTCCTTCCTTCTCACTTTCCTCTCTCCCTGAGCCATTCCCTTTATTGATCTTTCTGCCATTTGCCCATTATTATTTTTAAAATTAATTTCTTGTGGATGTACATGATGGTGAGATTCAATATGTTGTATTCATATATGTACACAGAAAAGTTGTATCAGTTCATTCCACTGTCTTTCCTTTTCCTACGCCCCCTTCTCTTCCCTTCATTCCTCCTTGTCTAATCCACTGAACGGCTATCCTCCTCCCACCCCACTTTGGGTAGCTTTCATATATGAGAGAGAATATTCAACCTTTGGTTTTGGGGGATTGGCTTATTTCACTTAGAATGATTGTCTCTAGATCCATCTGTTTACCAGCAAATGTCATAAAGTCATCTTCTATATGGCTAAGTATATCTATTGTGTATATATACCACATTCACTTATTGAAAGGCACTAAGGTTGGCTCCATAGCTTAGCTATTTTGAATTATGCTGCTATAAACATTAATGTGGATGTATCACTATAGTATGCTGATTTTAAATCCTTTGGATACATATCAACAAGCGGCATTACTGGGTCAAATGGTAGCCCATTCCTAGTTTTTTTGAGAACTCTCTATACTGTTTACTGGAGTGGTTGCACCAGTTTGCGGCCCTACCAACAAGTATGAGTGTACCTTTTTCCCCACATCTTCACCAACATTTATTGTTACTCATATTCTTGATAATTGCCGTTCTGACTGTAGTCAGATGGAATCTCAGTGTATTTTTAATTTGCATTTCTCTAATTGCTGGAGATGTTGAACCTTTATTTTTTTCATATATTTGTTGACCATATTTCTTCATTTGGAAAGTATCTATTTAGTTCCTTTGTCCATTTATTGATTGGTTTATTATTTTTTTTGGTGTTAAATTTCTTGAGTTCTTTTTATATTCTGGAAATTAATGCCCTGAGGTGCATGTGGCAAAGATTTTCTCCCATTCTGTAGGCTATCTCTTCATGCTCTTGATTGTTTCCTTTGCTGCGAAGAAGATTTTTTACTTCTTGCACTTTAGGAGTCTCTTTAAGGAAGTCAGTTCCTGAGCTGAAATGAGTAGGTGCCATGTTTCTTGTACAGAACACCATTTCTAAATCCACAAGATTAAATTTGTGGAAAACACTGTAGGTTCAAAGAGACAAAGCTACTAAAGGAGAATGGTACCCCATGTCTATAATACCAGCAGTGTGGGAGAATGAGCAGAAGGATTGTAAGCTGGAGGCTAGGCTGGACAATTTAGAGAGACCCTGTCTCAAAATAAAAAAGGCTAAAGAAGTGGCTCAGTGGTAGAGCACTGGGTTCAATCCTCAGTACTGCATGAAAGAACAACAAAAAACAAACCTATAGTCACAAGTAAATATGTATTTCAGGACAATTGAGAAAATATAAATATAAAATGACTATGGGGATTACTTTTTTTTTCCTGTACTGGGGATTGAACCCAGGGTCTTGCATATATTGAGCAGGTAATCGACCTGTAAGCAACATCCCAGGTCCAGGTCCTGAAATGGTTGTTAGGTAATACTGAAGGATTATTAGTTTTATTAGATGTGATAATGATATTAAAGAACATGTCTATAATTTGAAGTACCACAGCAAATGATACAGATAAAGCTAATATGTATGGAAAATAGGGATGTTAAGGTGATGCATATATAGCTGTTCTTTATACTTTCTATTCTAATGTGCATTTAAATTTTAGGGGGAAAAATTTATAAATAGTTGCTTATTGGATGTGCAAAATTAATTCATGCTCGTAATGCATACTTTAATTATTTCGCTGTAGCCTCAGTTCATTTATTTAGTAAACGAAAGGAATAGATTAGCTGATTGTTTTGTCCCTCTAGTCCTGAGATTCTAAACAAAGACCATAATGCAAATGCCAATGGATGCCAAACAGGTAATTCAAATTAGTGATCTGGTGAAATGTTTGCTGGTCTCAAGGGGGCGTTTTCCAGGGGAATATTGCCTGTTGATGACACGGGCTCTGCCATCTACACTTAGCCCAGAGAAGGACATACAGATTTTTATACGAAATTCCGTATTTTTAAATGTTAGTAAATGAAAATGCAAAAAAATTAAGAGTGTAGAAGCGGCCCTGGAGGAACCACCAAACTCTGCACTGCGAGTTGGCGGTCTCTGTGCGGTCCACCCTCTGCTCTGCGGTCAGTTAGGAAATTTGCAAAAGTTTGCGGTCAGTTAGGAAGATGAGCATTGATGGGGAAGTTCAGGAGATTAAGATATGAAGATCAGAACATCCAGAATAATTGTAGAGAGTGAATTCTGTTTCAAAATGCCAGTCCACCTCGGCCTATTTTCATCTATAATAGTACTAAAAATCTACACAAATCAGCAAATGCCACTTATAGACAACAACAACAAAACCGGGTTTATTTCCTTGTAGGCTCTCCTCTCTGCCAGGCCACGGTGCAGCGCAGCCACCCCCCAGGTACCCTGTGGTCCTCTGACCGGCTATTGGAGCCATAGATTTCACACCCTCCGAGGGCCGTTTTTTAGATGGAAAGTCGTGCCGCCATCAAGTCCCTGAAAACCTCGCAAGGGAGTTTAGCTTCCCTCTGCGTTTGAGGAAAAAAACGTTCCTCAAGGTGTTAGTAGGGAAATCAAGGGCAGGAAGTCCCACCCCCGGGTTTGGGCGCTTCCGGTTTGGTAACTAAGGGCGCCGTACCGTTGCTAGGGCTCGGGTGGCAACTTTGCCTGTGCTTCAGCGCAGCGCGGGCACTGCTCACTCGCTGTACCCGAGCGCAGGTTTTTGTTTGGCTGTGTATGGGGGGGTTCTCTGTCCGTTTGCCATGAGCAGCGAGTTCCTGGAGGAGCTGCATTGGGAGGATGGGTTTGCCATCCCAGTGGCGAACGAAGAGAACAAGGTCCTGGAGGATCAGGTGAGGACCAGGTGAAGGCGACCCGCAGGAAGAAGGGAGGGTCTGTTGGCGGGTCCTCTGGTGGGCAGCGCTACCGTGGCCGTTTATTTCTCTCCTCATCTAACCGGTTCTGTCTAACGCTCGCGCGTGCCATCTTCTTCCTCCCTCACCCAGCCTGTCCTTTTCGGTTATTGTTAAGCATTCAATTTTTTTTTTTAATTGAAACAGTAATTGACATCTCGGGGTTATAAAACTCGAGTGACTATTTCCTCCCTCCTGCTCCACGTATTCATTGCAAGCCTCCTGGGCAAGAAAGGAAAGACTGGTTCCCATGCCCGCTTTTTCCTTCTTTGAAATTAAGCGCTACTTAGAGAGGGATTCCTGAGGTTTGCCCAGCAACAGTTATTTGAGCATGTTTATAAACAAAACACGTTTGGTTGACATCTCTTTATGAGCTTCTGCTTATGATGTTTAAAGTGACTGACAGTGACTCAAGATGTTTTCAAGAGGGATAGTTCAACAAGAATGTAAAAATATGAAGTGCAGAAATTTCAAGTGGGGATCAAGTTGTCACAGTATGACAAAATATTTTACGTTGTAAGGACGAACTTAGACCAACTCCAGTTCTTAGCACTCGTTTTTAAAGAATTGCAGCTGTCTCAGCAAACTTTTAAAAACATTTAGCAGTCAGTCTTAAGTTCCTGGGTATGGTGATGTTTTGTGTAGAAGAGAATCCAAGAAATACACATGATGCTTATGCAACTTTACAAGATAGAAAATTTTCTCTCCTTTGACAAATGAAAATAAAAATCCCTAAAGCTATCCTTTGAAAAGAGTGGAAAACACTTTTCAGAATATTCTGTCCTATTTACCCAATTTAGAAGTCTGCTTCATTTTTTTTTTCTTTATCTAAGAAAGACAACATTAGGAAATGTAAGAGATCTAGCACTGAATTTTGAGAAATAAGAAGTATCCAGTCCCGGGTTCAGGTCCTATTACTCACCCTGAGCCTGTTTCATCTTCTCTAAAATAGAGGTAAATAAAAATAACTACCTCATGCTATTGTTATAAGGCTCATAATGTAGGTTAAATGTAAGTTTTTAGTGTTATTGTTATATCTGTATCACAAGATTGCATGTACATAGACTTTTTTTGAGAGAGAGAGAGAATTTTTTAATATTTATTTTTTAGTTTTCGGTGGACACAACATCTTTTTTTTTTAACTTTATATGGTGCTGAGGATTGAACCCAGCGCCCCTGCGCATGCCAGGCGAGCGCGCTACCGCTTCAGCCACATCCCCAGCCCAACATAGACTTTTATTAGCTGCTTAAAAATTATAGAGCAGGAAAAAAGAAAAATGAGGTTCATGATTGTTTCACCTGAATAAACTCTGACATCAATAAAGCAATTCTTTAAGATATTCAAATATAAATGTACAGGCATAAAATATAAGATATCACTTCCCCAAAGCACCTACTGGTGATTGAAGAAGTGACTATCATAACATTAAATAAACATTTCAGACATTTGCTACACAACTCTACAGAAAGAAGAAAAATGAAATCCTATTACATGTGACTTTTTAACACAAAATATTAATTTTAGCATTGAGAGAAGAAAAAGAAGAATTTTTGAATTTAGGTATTGCTTGATTGCAAGAGGTACTGATTGCTAAAAATTCCTCTAAGAAAAACTACTTAAAATTAAACAGCTTAATTACTGTTTTTTCAAAAACTGTTTTAATTATAGACAGTACTGATTAACTTCCTTCTTTATTTTTTTTTTTAAATTCTCATTTGTTATATGACAGTGGAATGCATTACAATTCATATTACACATATAGAGTACAATTTTCATATCTCTGATTGTATGCAAAGTATATTCACACCATTTGTGTCTTCATACATGTAGTTTGGTAATGATGTCCATCTCATTCCACCATCATTTCTAACACCATGCCGCTTCCCATCCCCTCCCACCCCTTTACCCTATCTAGAGAGTTCAGTCTATTCCTCCCATTCTCCCCCTCCCTACCCAACTATGAATCAGCCTCCTTTTATCAGAGAAAACATTTGGCATTTGATTTTTGGTGATTGGATAACTTCACTTAGCATTATCTTCTCCAACTCCATCCATTTACCTGCAAGTACCATAATTCTATTCTCTTTTATTGCTGAGTAATATTCCATTGTGTATATATACCATTATTTTAATCCATTCATCTACTGAAGGACATCTAGGTTGGTTCCACAGTTTAGCTATTATGAATTGTGCTGCTATAAACATTGATGTGGCTGTATCCCTGTAGTATGCTGTTTTTAAGTCCTTTGGGTGTAGACCGAGGAGAGGGATAGCAGAGTCAAATGGTGGTTCCATACCCAGTTTTCCAAGGAATCTCCATACTGCTTTCCATATTGGCTGCACCAATTTGCAGTCCCACTAGCAATGTATGAGTGTGCCTTTCCCCCCTGTCCTCACCAACACTTACTGTTGTTTGTATTCTTAATAGCTGCAATTCTGACTGGAGTGAGATGAAATTTTAGAGCAGTTTTGATTTTCATTTCTCTAATTGCTAAAGATGATGAGCATTTTTTCATATATTTGTTGATTGATTGTTTATCATCCTCTGAGAAGTGTCTGTTCATGTCCTTGGCCCATTTGTTGATTGGGTTATTTGTTTTTTTTTTTTTTCAGTGCTTAGCTATTTGAGTTCTTTATATACGCTAGAGATGAGTGCTCTATCTGATGTGTAAGGGGTAAAAATTTTCTCCCAAGCTGTAGATTCTTTATTCACTTCACAGATTGTTTCTTTTGCTGAGAAGAAACTTTTTAGTTGAATCTATCTTATTTATTGATTCTTGATTTTAATTCTTGTGCTATAAGACTCTTATTAAGGAATTGGGGCCTAATCTGACATGATGGAGATTAGGGACTACTTTTTCTTCTATTAGATGTAGGATTTCTGGTTTAATTCCTAGATCCTTGATCAACTTTGAGTTGAGTTTTGTGCATGGTGAGAGATAGGGGTTTAATTTCATTTTATTGCATATGGATTTCCAGTTTTCTCAGTACCATTTGTTGAAGAGGCTATATTTTCTCCAATGTATGTTTTTGGCACCTTTGTCTAATATAAAATAATTGTAATTTTGTGGGTTAGTCTTTGTGCCTTCTATTCTGTACCATTGCTCTACCAGTCTATTTTGGTACCAATATCATGCTCTTTTTGTTACTATTGCTCTGTAGTATAGTTTAAGGTCTGTTATAGTGATGCCATCTACTTCACTCTTCCTGCTAAGGATTGCTTTAGCTATACTGGATCTCTTATTTTTCCAGATGAATTTCATGACTGTTTGTTTTATTTCTATGAGGAATGCCATTGGAATTTTGATTGGAATTGCATTAAATATTATAATGCTTTTGGTAGCATGGTCATTTTGATAATATTAATTCTGCCCATCCAAGAGCAAGGTAGATCTTTCTATCTTCAATGGTTCTTTTTTTTCTTTAGGGTTCTATAGTTTTATTGTACAGGTCTTTCACCTCTTTTGTTAAGTTGATTCCCAAGTATTTTATTTTTTTTGAGTTTATTGTAAATGGGGTAGTTTTCCTTTCAGAGGATTTGTCACTGATATACAGAAATGCCTTTGATTTATGGGTGTTGATTTTATATCCCATTACTATGCTGAATTCATTTATTAGTTCTAGCAGTTTTCTGGTGGAATTTTTTGGATCTTCTAGGTATAGAATCATATTGTCAGCAAATAGTACTAATTTAACTTCTTCTTTTCGTATCTGTATTCCTTTAATTTCTTCCATCTGTCTAATTGCTCTGGCCAGTATTTCTAGAACTCTGTTAAATAGAATTGGTGAAAGAAGGCATCTCTGTCTTGTTCCAGTTTTTAGAGGGAATGCCCTAAATTTTTCTCCTTTTAATAAGATGTTGGACTGGGGGTTAGCATAGATAGCCTTTACGATGTTGAGATATATTCCTGTTCTCCCTAATTTTTCTAGTGTTTTGAACATAAAGGTGTGCTATATTTTGTCAATGCTTTTTCTGTATCTATTGAGATGATCATATGATTCTTATTTTTAAGTCTATTGATGTGATGCATTACATTTGTTGATTTCCGAATGTTGAACCAACTTTGCATCCCTGAGATGGATCCCACTTGATGGCGGTGCATGATCTTTCTGATATGTTTTTGTATGTGATTTGCCAGAATTTTATTGAGAATTTTTGCATGTATGTTCATTAGAGATATTGGCCTGAAGTTTTCTTTCTTTGATGTATCTTTGCCTGATTTTGGAATCAGGGTGATATTGGCCTAATAGTATGAGTTTGGAAGGGCTGCCTCTTTTTCTATTTCCTGAAATAAATTGAAGAGTATTGGTATTAGTTCTTTCTTAAAGGTCTTATAGAACTTGGCTGTGTATCCATCTGGTTCTGGGCTTTTCTTGGTTGGTAGGCTTCTGATGGTGTCTTCTATTTCATCACTTGATATTGGTCTGTTTAAATTGTGTATATCATCCTGATTCAATTTGGGAAAATCACCTGACTTAAGAAATTTGTCAATGCCTTTGATATTTTCTTTCTTTTTTTTTTTTTTAAATAATATTTATTTTTTAGCATTTGGCAGACACAACATCTTTGTTTGTATGTGGTGCTGAGGATCGAACCTGGGCCCCACGCATGCCAGGCGAGTGCGCTACCACTTGAGCCACATCCCCAGCCCCATTCTATTTTTTGGAGTACAAGTTTTCAAATGATTTCTAAGTATATTCTGAATTTCTATAGTGTCTGTTGTGATGTTACCTTTTTCATCACGTATGTAAGTAATTCGAGTTTTCGCTCTCCTTCTCTTCATTAGTGTAGCTAATGGTCTGTCAATTTTATTTTTTTTTTTCAAGGAACTAAATTTTTGTTTTGTCAAATTTTCAATTGTTTCTTTTTTTAAAAAATTTTTTATTGTTGATTGTTCAAAACATTACAAATTTCTTGACATATCATATTCCTCACTTT